TCACCGAAAGCCCTTCCTTGTATTTCTTTTTGCTTACATTTCTGCCTTTGAACACTAGATGGGACTAAGGGATGACTTGTGTTACAGGGATTGCGGAAGGGAGTTCATAGCCTTCCAGCTTCTGAATGAAGTGCGTGTTTACTGCAAAAGCATGAATGGAGAAGATAAAAATAGGGGCATCTTTATCTTCTCTATTGGGTAGCTTTATTTCAAATTTAAATGGTGACTTTGAGCAATATTTAAATAGTATTAAAATCTTAATGTAAGATTCAGGTGTACAGGAATGAGTTGCTGTAATGTCCCGTATTATTTTCCTTATACTTTATAGAGAAATCCAGTAACACCAAGAGTCATATTTAATGTTCTTGCTTTAAAATATCACCAGATATTATAAAAGCTACTGTATCATTTTATTGTTTGAGAAGGGAAAATTAAACATATCATATGTTTATTTATTTTGCATTGTTAATGAAGCTATGTATGAATTAACACCCTCCTGAAATAAAGAAATGCATCATTAGTAATTGTCCATAAGCAAAATCATTATTGAAAAATCAAGGTAGCTAGAAATAGAGCTCCGGGGCTTTAAGTATAAATGTTATAGCAACACATCTTAAGGAATGGTATATTAAATCGTTTCTTATGAAAATACACATTGTATGAAATATAGCAGCGACTGTGTGAACTTTGTATTGACCTTGTGGTACTTATTTTTCTTTCACATTTCCGAAATAATGTCATAATTATGTTACAATAATGACATAATGTCAATAATAACACACCTGTTACCCTACTATACTATATAAGGAAAAATAATAGTTTAGCAGAGGAGGAGGATATGAGATGACAAATGACTAAGAGAAAGAAAGAAGGAATCTTCAGCTGTAAAGTTCGAAGTGTTTTCTACTGCGGTGAGTTCTGAGTTAAGTCGGCAGGACCCAGTGGATACCCCAGCTTAAGGCATTACCCTTGAGGCTGCGCCCCAGAGAGGGTTGGCCCAGAAGGGGGTGACTGTAGGTTAGTCTCATTCGTGAGGAAGTGCTTTGTTTTCCTGTGCTCGTTAGCCTTTTGGTCACTGCGCTCTGCAGCCGTGATTGCTCTCCCAGTATTCTACCCTGTCTTCTCGGAGGACGGTGACGATTTCCTGAACTCTTGAGACAGCAACAGCGGGACTGGTTCGTGGGCCAGGACTGGACTCCTTGGCTTTCTTACACCAACTTTTCCCAAACGGCGTCCTCTACGCCACTACTATTCTGTGTGGTGTTAACAGGTTTTGTAACAAAGCGGCAGTCCATAGTTATCTCTAGGATATGCTGCATCCAGCAGTCCACAGCTGCTTTCTCAAGCGCAGCTTCAGTCCTTAGTCTGCTCACGTTGTGCGTGTACCGCAAATCTCTAAGTAGTAGGATATTGTGTTCTTTTGAAATATGTTGTGTATGACCCTGAGACACAGATACACACACACACACACACACACACACACCGCCACACAAGCAAGTCTGATTAAAAAATACAGCGATATTTTAAATTTTTAAAAATGTATTATAGTAAAAGTACATTGTCCTTAATCCGCCTCAGGGCCTTCCCCGTCCCTTCTGCCACTCTTCTCCTGTAGTTCTTGCCACTGTTGAAGCAGCTGTGGAAAGTCCTTTTCGTGGACTCTTTCCGTGTCACTGTTGTGGCTGTGTAAATGCCTTGACTCCGTCTAAACCTTTGCCTCTCGTGGTCGCCCTGACTTCGGGAGATGCGCTGTACCCAGCCCACGAACGACGCAGAGGACGTGGCGTGACGCTCTGCCGACCCCGCTGTTCTGTTGGGTCACCCTCAGCGGCGGCGGCAGCCCCTGTGCTCTTGCTCACACCTCGTTACTACCTTTAGGATACACGCCTCATACAGACACTCAGGAAAGAGGACTTCCAGCACGGCTTCAGAAAGTGGCAAGGATATGAGCTAAGTGTTTGAATCAAGAGGAGGTATTTTGTGGGGGATTAATGGCAATGTGTCGCTTACTGAAATACATGTTTTAAATTGAAACATTCACCATTTATTTTGATCACACCCCTAACCACTTTTTAAAAAGATAGTGTATTGAGGTTTCGTTATGCATGATGCTGTTGTAACTGCTTTCTTGTAAGACTAGACTCCCTTTCCTAGTGGGTGGCCTGGCAAGAGCCCAGTCGTGGTCCTTCTCCTGCTGCTCCTGCACTGAGCGTGGGTCCAGCTGGAGAGAGTCACACAGCGAGCCGCCTGGTCTGGCTTCCCATCCGTGCCTGTGGACCTCCTGGGGCCTTTAGTGCTGCTTGTCCTTGTCCTTCCAAATGGCAACCTTCCATGTTTTTTTTTTTTTTTTGACTCCTCACGCCCTCTTTCTGTTTCCCTCTCGGCTGATAACCTTGTTCCTTGAGGAGAAGGGCAGAGCCTCGACCCCGCCTGTGCCGTCTTCCCACCCTCTGCTTAGACCGACTGGGGCGCGGCCCGCAGCCCCCTGGGAGCTCAGTCTCAGGCCTGCTCCCACCCTGTCTCCCCATTCAGCTCAGCCTCAAGGGTTCGCCCTCTGTTGAATTATTTCTCCAGTTCACAAATGGGAAGAGTTCTCTTCTTTGTTCAGTACCTCCGGTATCATTATGCCAAGAACAAACTTGATTGGAGATTTTGCTCCTCTTTATGTTTTGACTGAATAAGGCAGTATTTCTCATCTTGTTAAAAACCTCTTATTTTAAAATTTGTAGTGATACAGAGAGTTGCTATATAGGCCTCAATCGGCTTCCTCCTATTTTCTAACTGAAACAACAAAACAGAACTTCTGTGTTGCCTTTCAGTGCCTCATTGCAATGGTTACTTCTCTAATAAACCCCTTAAACATGTCTTCTTTATAGTCTGTGTTCTCTCTTAACTCTTTCTTCAGTTGCTTGCCCCTTTCCATCCCCCAACGTGGATGTCCTCAGCCTTGCCCTGGCTGTTAAATACCGTATCAGTCAAGGCCTGACGGCCCCTAGGTCTGTGCTGTTGGCCTTGATCTTGCCCTTGAACTCCAGACATTTATGCTAATTACCTGTTGGACAGCCGTCAGCAGCAGAAGTCGTCTTCCACTTCCTGCAGTATGAAAGGCCATGCCTGGAGTCTTCCCTGCCTCAGACTCTGGCAGCTGTGCTCAGAGCCTGGTCATGGCCTGACTGCTTCAGGTCACTCACACTCCATGTTAAATCTATCAGCGAATCCTCTTGGCTCTGCCTTTAGCACACACACCTAAAACACAGCCACTTCTTGCTGTCTTCACTGCCACCCTGATAATTCAGGCCACCAGGAACATCCCTTGCCATAGCTCTGACCATCTCTTCTTTTGTCACTTGTGTGGATTACCTTCGTACAGCAGTCAGAATAGTTAAAGCACAAATATGAGTATGCTACGGCTGTGCCTAAAACCCTCCACAGTGTTGCTGTTGTTCACTCTGAGTAAAATCCTAAACCTTGCGGTAGCGTAAGAGCCCTTCCTGTCTGACATCATTTCCTGCGGGGGAACCCCGTCTCTTCCTGATGTCTTGCCAGGTTCCCACTTTATAACCTTGTATTTGCCATCATCTGTGCTGATTGCCTTCCTGTACTCCAGTGGCTCTATTCTCTTTCTTTAAATCCTTCAAAAAGCCGACCTGACCAGGCTCCTTGAGGCGCACTCTTGCACTTAAAGTCTGCTCCTTCCATTCCTTTGCTTAGTTAGCGCTGTCACCAAGGTGCAGTATACCAGGTGTCACAAGTATAACCTGAAGATGACCACTGTTTTGTATCCAGGACTTGAAATCCTCTGATTTTGGTATCTGCAGGGGTCCCAGACCCAGTCCCTTGCAGATACAGAGAGACAACTATATTTTATTGATTGTCTACTTCTGGTAGTGTAGGTGCCACAGAAGCAGGAGCTCTGCAATTGTGTCCTGCGCCGCAGTATCTCAGGATCTGCCCCGATACCTGGCACCTTGTCCCCTCTTAGTGTTTGGATGAACGAGTGAGCAAATGGGTGGACAGTCGTGTTGCGTGGAGCGGAAGCACCAGGTTGGAAGGCAATACAGAAGCTGTGGACACATACACACAGCTGTCATGATGCTCACAGAGAGGAGGAGGAGAGGAAGTGGGGAGAGGAGGAAACCCTGCTGTAGTGGTGGGCTCTGCCACTGCAGTGGGAGTATATGAAGGCACTCGGCACAGACGACGGCAAGTACAAGGTCATGAAGTGGGAGCCTGGCAATACTTCAGGAAGAGACGGGGTTCTCCACAGGAAATGATGTCAGACAGGAAGGGCTCTTAGGCTACCGCAAGGTTTAGGATTTTACTCAGTGAACTACAGCAACACTGTGGAGGGTTTTAGGCATAGCCATAGCATACTCACATGATTATTCTGACTGTTGTAGGAAAGTAATCTGCACAAGTGACAGAGATGGTCAGAGCTATGGCAAGGGATGTTCTTGGTGGCCTGAATTACCAGGGTGGCAGTGAAGACAGCAAGAAGTGGCTGTGTTTTAGGTGTGTGTGCTAAAGGCAGAGCCAAGAGGATTCACTGATAGATTTAACATGGGGTGTGGGTGGCATATTGCTGGTTTCTGCGAGTGAGTAAGCAAGCCCCGGCCTTTGCATGTGCCTATAGAGAAGGTGAAGCAAGCCCTGCGGCCTGTGCGGGCAGGCTGTGTTTCTCTACGATGCTTGTGAGTGAAAATGCTGAATTTTAATGATGCAGTCTTTGTGCATCTATAGTTAAAGTTTCAGAATATAAACAATATTAGTAGGGGAAAGAAAATTGTACAGTGTCAAATCTGTGTGATAGTTACTAAAACACTCCTTGGCATTAGTATATTAAAAAGTGAGCCTGTGCTTTAGTAACTTTGTGCAGATCAGATGGGCTGTATGATTCCAAAAGGTGTACATGGTTGCTAATGAACCATTTAAAAAGCACTTCCCATAAAGTTTTTCTGCTCCTATAATAACTACAGTGTTTTCATTTAAACATCCTACAGGTGTGAAGCATCCAGTCCACACATTCATCCCGTTGGCTGGTGTAAAGAACACAGAAGAACCCTCATTACTCCTCCAGGTTCGTGCTTATTGTGTGTCTCATACACCTCCGGTACGTCAGAGGCCCGTAGGCCTTTTCTGTAGAAGCAGAGATTGCAAATAGTTTGAAGTTTTGTGCACTGGAGCCTCCCCCACTGCTCAGCCTGGGTGCGCACGGAAGTGGCTGCAGACAGCGTGGAAACAGCTGGGCCGCGCCGCATCCACGCTTGCTTTACGAAAGTGTGCAGCTGGCCCCGGGCGTGAGTTTCCTGGCCTCCAAGCACATTGAGCATTGGCTTAGTTTAAAGCGGAATCTCAAATTTTGGTCTTCTTTGGAAAAATAAGCTCAGATTTAAAACATTCCTCCTTTGTCAGCATGAAATTCATTTCACTGCTTGCTATTAGTGTGCAGTTAAGGTGTTGCCTAGCTGCAGGCGCGAGTTGTCTCCTTGGGCGAGTCCAGGAATGTGACTGTGGAGGACACAGCTCAGCAGACCGGCCGTGGACGCCACGTGGAGGCCCAGGCCTGGCGGAAGCACGCTGCTGGCATCTCAGCGAAGATTTGGCGCCCCAGATGTTTTTAGTTTAGGCCTCACACATGAGTTTTTCTTTGTTCTGTTGTGCGTCCTGGTTCCAAAGTCGACTTTACACCCAGATGCTGATGGTGCCTCTCTTCCTGGGTGCAGTGGTTCTGGACAGAGGTTTGGGGGCTGCCGCTGGGGTGCTGTGACCTTCGGGCCTTGTCAGCATCTTTCCTTTCTCGTGGGTAGATAGCAGTGTAACTGGATAAAGAGCATCCTACTGTTGAATTGCGTTTCTTGCGCTAAAGAACTATTCTATGGCCTCACCATAATTGACACTTTCTTTGAGCGTGGGAATGCTGAAGGTGTCACGGTTCTCACGGTGGGCAAAGGCGGGCACAGCAGCTCACACAGCCCTGCTGTGTAGGACAGCACACGCTTACCTGATGGGTGCACTCCCGTGCACTGTGTGGTCACGGAGGAGGAGCAGTTCGCAGTTCTCTACAAGCTGTCTGCGCTGTCGCCTGCAGTGTGCCTGAGCGGAGGCCTGGTCTAGACCCCTGATCTTTTCCTCGCCGGGCTCCAGCCAGGTCTGTGAGCAGCGTGCACAGGCATCCCATGTGAGTTTTCTTCTATGCTGAAGGGAGGAAAGGAAAGTGTCCACCCCAGCTAGTCTATAGGACAATTTGAAGAAAGCCAGATCCTAATGGTGCACCCATCCTGTGTCTCATTTCAGAATCTGTAACTAGTTTTAGCATCTGTTGATGTTTCTAATCTAAGCTATTATTTTACTCATGCTAGATGGTTATTTTTTAATATGAATCACACTGTTTCTCATTACTGTTGATACCTAGTTAATATTTTTCTGCAAATTAATTTCCAAGTGTGCTCTCTGGAGGATTTTTTTTTTCTTTTTTTTTTTTTTGGCGGAACCGGGAATTGAACTCAGGACCTTACACTTGCCAGGGCCCCTGGAGGATTTGTTATGTTTAGGCTTTTTTTTTTTTTTTTTTTTTTTTTTTTTTTTTTTTTTTTTGTATTTTAGGAAAGGGTCTCACTACTAGATCAGACTCCTAGTGATCCACCTATTTACAGCCTCCCAAGAGCTGGGATTATAGGTGTGCACCACTGCGCCCGGTCTTGATTACTGTCTCAGCGTGCTTCGGGGGCAGGGCTGGCACAGCACACCGGGGATCAAACCCCAGGCCCTGCGCCTGCTTGCAGGCACTTTAATCTGCTGAGCTATTTGGCTAGCCCTTGTTTGGCTTTCTGTGTCCCCTGCCTTATAGAATATTAGTGACTGTGAATCTCTGTCCCTGTCGCCATCTACGTTACCTTGAGGATTCTCAGGGTTTTCCTGTTAGATCCTTTCTTTCCTCAGTACTGTTTTGGGCCACAGCCGGAGATCTAGTAGTTAAACAGTGAACCCGTGAACCCCAAGCCCCTGCATGTGACCACAGGGGACCTGGCCCACCACTGCTGCTGGCTTCTTCTGTGACGCAGAAGCTAAACCACTTGTTCTCTTTTATTGACTTTGATAATTCAAAAAGAAAAATATAGCTTTGGCCAGTTTTTAAAAACTTAAAATTTCATGTGAAAATTATACCATTGTCTATTGAATATTTTGATACCAGTAATATTCCTGGTACCACTGAACTGTACACCTAAAATAATTTTAAAATTAAATTTTACATTACATATAACACCACAGTGAAAAAATTTAACAACAAAAATCTGTCAAGTTATGAAAATGGCTCCCTGGACCTCTGCTTGTGTCGCACTTTGCTCCATGACAGAAGAGAACTCTTTCTGTGGTCCCCTTTGCCTTATCTGCTCACCTGTTGGTGAGCATGTAGGCTGCTTCCAGGATTTACTCTTGGGAGTTGTGCTGCTGTCATTGTTGTTCTCTTCCCAAAGTTAAAAATCTTCATCTTTTCTGAATTATATGTTCCTGCATGCTTTTTTGAGGGGGCGAGGGTAGGGAGACAGGGTCTCGCTATGCAGTTCAGGCTGGCCTTGAGCTCACTTTGTAGCCCAGGCTAGTCGCGAACTTGCAGTGATCCTCCTGCCTCAGCCTTCCAAGTACTGGGCTGATAGGTGTGCTTTTTTAAAATTTAGAATGAAAAATAGAAATAATATAGTTACCTCTTTTTATGGTTTAGTTTGTCGTCAGCTTTGTTTTTCTGTGCATGTACACATGTAAGCATACCCATCAGGTGCATTTGACAGACTGTCCTGATTTAAATTCAGACATGCAAGGTCTGTTCCTCATACTTACTTTTTGATGAAAGTATTCATAGCAAAATAAGATAATAATACTTAAAGCACTTTATATCATTATTATCAAAGAAGTTACTCAGAATACATAGACCAAAAAGATTCTTAAAAAGAAGAAACGTACTTTTTAGACATTTTTCTTGGGCACACTTTCAATACAGAAAGGTTGCGGTAGTGGAGCAGAACTCATGTGAGCCGCCCAACTTAGCTGGCCGACAGGCTGCTGCGGCGATAGCAGAAGGATCACCCCGAGCTCGGGCGCGCCCCTTGCAGCCTCCTCCGTGACACTGTCCTTGCCTCGCACAGCCTCCCGCTGTGGGGAGATGGCAGCGTGCGGTGGCTCCGAGTTCACTGTGAGCGTGAGGCTGCGTCCTCGTTGTCAGAGCCAAGCTACCCCAGGAGCATCACAGATAGGACACCGTGCTGCGTGTGTGTCCTCGTAGGGCACAGGACCTCAGTCTGTCTTTTACCAGTGGTTGATCAATACGATATTGACAAGTTTCTTCACTAATCCAGTTACTTTTGCCTCGGTCATTGATGATTATTCGCTAGAGCTAGAACTTGAAGATTAGCCTGTTTCTCATTTCAGAATCATCCGCTAGTTTTGGCATCTGTTTGTAGATCCAGAATGTGGTGTAATTTTAACAGTAAACAAAGGGCAATTTTTCCTTATGAACTGTATCGTTTATCATTACCCTTTGTCTGTAGTTAATGTTCCTCTGCATAGGAGAGCTTTCTCATTTATATTCCATTTATGTGTATCAGTGTGCACCCAGAGATTACTCTTTTTAACAGAGAATTATAGTCCCTGAGTGGTACTGTTTATTTTCATGTCAGATTTTGTGAGATTTTAGCTAGTGGAAGCCTCTTTAAAATTCTACCAGGGGGAGCCCTGGCCTTTGATGTGGTAGCATTTTTTGAGAACTTCGTACATCCCAGTGTAGGTGAGCTAAGGACGGCTTGCGGCATCCCGCAGCCAGGAATTTCTCTGAGGATCCAAGTTCTTTTTAGTAGAAAATGAAATTCAGAATCCGGCTGCTGGCATGCTTATTCCTGGGGCGAGTTGCAGCTCCCCTGTCTGTCGATGGCTGGAGGAAACGCTTCCAGGTCCAAACCCAGTGGCTGCTTCTGCGGCGGTGCATGCTGCGCGCTGCAGCTAGCTGCCTGAGCCCCCATGCAGCTCTGATGCTCTCGGCTTCATTTCTAGCTTTCTTCTCTCTGTGCCTTGTTCTTGCTCTTCTCGGTCAGGGAGAAGTTTAGCTTCTGTGATCTCTAGTGAAGTTGGATGTTTCTGCAGCCCTTTTTATGGGGCTACTTGAGACAGTAGCTCATTTCCCACCCTGCTGGGCCCTTGCAAGTCCTGCTTATGCTAGCCTAGTGGAAGTTGGTCTCTGGAGGACGCAAAAGGCAGTGGAGAAAGAAGAGTTATTTTCACATTTTCTGTTGTAATGTTTTGTTATTGGGTGTGTTTCTTTGTTCAGTCTAATAGTATAAAGAGATATCAAGAATAGTTTATATATTTAGATATATGTAAGATACATATACCTTTGGTATTCTTTGTTATAAATGCTTTTTATTTCACATATACTGTATGTTTTGTATATATTACATGAAGGGTCATTTAACTTGATTTTCATTTTCATGTGCAAAAACAGTTACACATTGTGTTTTTATACACATAGGGGATTTTCCTAAATTAATGGAAATAAAAGCTAGATTCCAGGCATCATCATGTGTGTTTAATGCTGTCCTTGTGTACATTATGTATATGTGTGTATATGTATAATTACAACCTAAAAAGCAGTAGAATAAAATAAAAGCAAAATGATTACAAAGTAATTCTGAAGTGTTACAAGTTGGAAGTCATCCCGTGCACATGAACATGATTTACTCAACTATAATGAAAGATACCTGATAATGTTTGTGTGGCAGTTTGTTGCTCATCGTTTTGGCTAAATCTTATAGGACTTCTGTTGTCCTTTGTTTCTTAGGCTATCCAAATGTGAAGCATTTTTCCTGGGATAAATACCTTGAAGAAACCAATTCTTTACCTGCCCCTGCAAGAGCCTTTAAAGTGGTGAGATCGCGGTCTGATGCTGTTCGGTCCCTTTGCGCTGAGACTGTCCTTTCTTGGTTCACTTAAATTTAAAAGCGGAAAAAGACAAAACCAATAAACCAGAAGGAAACGGGAAGAAAGCGGGAGACCAGTCGGAAGATGTTTTCAGATTTTTACAATATTTTAAAGTAAAACTGTTACTGGGATTATTGTTGGCATAATTTTTCTTTTTCTTATTGGACTTTAAAGTCTCCTTGGAAAATAATGCTGCTTGAGATGTGGGGAGAGAGTGGTTGGACTCTTACAAGCAAACTCCTGCTTTTCTACCTATTTTTAAAGCCCAAACTGGATGGAAAAATGTTTCCAGATAAAAATTACTTTTGTAACTCCTTGAATTTGTTTGTGATGAGTTGAGATGCTGTTTTGTATTTTCTTGGCACAAATAGCATTTTTTCCTAAATCAAGGTCATCTGCTGATGTTAGAGTGTCTCACGAAAACCCGGGGCTGTTACTTCTTGCGTATAACTTGCTAAGATGCAAAGTAAACCCCATTGCTGTCCAAGAGAAGACTAATAAATAAAATGCATTTTTTGCTTTTGCATCTCAAATAGCTTGCTTTAACACTTGCATTTTCTCATATCTGAAGGAGAAATATAAGTTTTTTGAATGTGAAAGTCTACTTTTATGTATAAATTTCTAAGATTTTTTTAATGGCAGTTAATTAGCAGTTAGGAGTACATACGTAGATGGAAGGAGCAGGAAGTATCTTAATGACTGGGGAGCAGTGGGAGCTCACTTGCGTGTGCAAGGTGCTAGGTTCGTCCCTGGCACTGCAAGAAAGGAAGTTTTAAGAATGAAACTGTGTTACATGAAGAGACGCACTGTCAAAAATTGGTATGACTTCATCTGGTAGTAGGTGTAGAATTTTTAAAAGAATGTTTAAAGTTATTGGCATATTTAAGAATTTTTTCATACTCTGAGTCTTAATACAATGTTGTATGTGTGGCTTTTTAAAAATCTTGCTTTGAACGATATAAAATTACAACAGGATCAACTTGCACATCTGCTAGAGAGAAAATGAGTTCTCTTATTTGACCTTTAGATGACTTGCATTGATGGTTCTGTGTCTTTTATGGAATTTTTCTTTTCTTTTTTTCGGACTAGGCCACTATGTAGTTCAGGCTGGCCTTGAGTTCGCTGTGTGGCCCAGGCTGGCCGCAGATGTTCAAGAGCCCTCCTGCCTCAGCCTCCCAAGTGCTGGGATTACTGGGATGCGCTACTGTACCGAGCTTTGTTTACATAGATTTCAAGCTTAATTTTCAGAGCAGTATTTTTATTACACTCTTTTTCCAGAAGGACCAGAAGTTAGAAAATATAAGTGGTCTGTGTAGCCCCTTCCAAGTCCGTCACCTTCCCTGTCTCCACTGGTACCTTTGTCCACAGTTTGTTTTTTCTGCGTACTGAGCTGTAGGGCGGCCGTGGGTCCCTCCCCCCGACCCTGTTTAGTAAGAGTTCTTCCAGCCGCGAAGTTTCTTTGCTGTAGCTGTCTTCTGCATTTTTTCTTCAGCACATCTAAGTCTTGGTGCCTTGTTTCAGCCTCTCATTTTTTCTCTCCTTTTAAAATTAAAGTTAGTGTCTGTTGATTTTTTTATTTTTAATTTTTTTTTTTTTTTTTGCTAAGACACCTCCAGCCAATGAGAAAATTGTCTGGCCTCCCCTGCAGCTGAGGAGATAACCGGAGGAGCTTTGCTTCGACACCCCTCTTCACTCCTCTGCTCCTTTCTTCTGTTTGTTGTGATTTTATTTTCTTGATGGCAAAGTGTTCCGCAGAGCCTCGCCTGGAATTTGAGAGTGGGAGAGCTGGCTCCCTGCATAGCTCCTCTGTTTGCTGTTCTTTGTAGCATCAGGCTGGATGCATTTTTCTCTCAGTCTGACTCAGAAACTTTTCTCTTACGGCAGAAACCTCCACATGGCTTCCAGAAGAAAATGAAGCTGGAGGTCGTAGATAAGAGGAACCCCATGTTCATTAGAGTCGCGACGGTCGCAGACACGGATGATCACCGAATAAAGGTCAGTACTCTGAGCTGGGCTTGGGCTTTGGCTTTGTTACAGGTTGTCTTAAATGGAAACTAGCAGATATGCAATTTATAAAGCTCTGGAATTAAGTTAATAAAACTGTAGGAATATGCAAAGTGCCAGTGAATCACTGTGCGTGAATATTCATTCAAGTTTTTTCTTTTAAAATGCTTAGGATGTTTTCTCTTTGCTCTGTTGCAGTCTAGCCCAGTTCATCCCATCCACCCCATCTCCCATCCATCCCATCCCTTCCCACCCTATCCCATCCATCCCATCCCATCCATTTCTCTTTCTCTGTATATTGTGATACTAGGGATTGAATCCAGGGTTTTGAGCTGGGCTATTTGCCTAGCTTTGAATCCAGGGTTTTGAGCTGAGCTATTTGCCTAGCTTCTCCCATCTTTTTGTTGTTTTTATTGCTACTTTTGATACAGGGTCTTTCTAAATTGTCCAGATTGGGCTCAAACATGTGGTCCTCCTGCCTCAGCTGCTTGGAATGCTGGAATCCCAAGCATGTACCACCATCCCTTTTTTTTTTTTTCTTTGATTATGAGTGGCTTTAAATATTTTGAGTTTGAACTTAGAAAAATAAAGTAGACACAACACATTCAGGTAATACTGTATTCAGAAAAAATTATCATTCATTCTCTTACATTGTTTTCTTTTTAAAAAACCTTAAAGGTTACTTTTTGGTGGGGGGTGTTAGGTAGTCTTTTCAGATGACTGTCATGTCTTTTAATATAAGATAAGTAAAGATAACTAGTTTAGTAAGTAAAACCACATTTTTATTAGAACTGGATTAATACAGTTAGACACCTCACATGAGGTAAGCAGCCACTTAGGAAGTTGGATTCTGTTTGTTTATCCAGGCGTGGGGCAGTGAAGCATGGGGCCGTGCTGCTCCTGCCTTGCACATCTACTTCTCTGTCAGGTAGAACGTTTCCGTGTTACCGCAAAGGATCATTTGGCTTCTGTGCTGGGACGCGTGGTGATTGCAGCGCCTGCCAGCACCGCCCTTCTCCATGACGTTTTCCAGGACAGCAGCATGTGCCATTGCGTGACCCTTGCCTCATTGCCGCGTGCAGAGCAGGCTGTCGTCTCTGTGGGGCCGATGAGAGCGGGGCGGGCGGGAAGGCCTGGCTCCCGCACCACCAGCAGCAGACGCGCGCGCACTGAGTCTCCGTTATGCACTGTGGGAACTTGGGTGTACACTTAGTAAAAAAAAAAAAGAATGATCTCGGCTTTATCTCCTGAGACAGTATATAAGAAAATAAGCTTTAGTAGACATTAAAACCTGTAGAAATGGATTCCTGTAGGAGAGAAATTTTGACTTTCGATTCACTGTTTAAAATTATGTAAGTATACATTTTTTGAAAAGTTCATAAATAACGCAGGGTATGTGTTAACCTTTCTCAAGTGCATTTTCCTGTTAATTGCAGTTGGTTGTGATGTAAATCATAGTGCAATCAGAAGATACTGCAATTGAAAATATTTTTAAAATAATCTGATAGCCAAAGAAATGCAGAATTGAGCACAATATTATTTTTATATCAAGTCGCTCAGAATTGGGAAGAAAGGCTGTTTGGGGGCAGGTTAGTATGCGAAAGGCTTATTTTTCTACTTTAGCTCAGAGAAATACAAAGCGCCCCAGCAATTCTGAACAGGGCTTTGGCGTCAGAGTCTCAGAATGTTGTTTATCCTTTAATTCAGGAAGTCTGGTCCTGGATATGCACTTTGGAAATATTCAGAGAGAAAAGCTCCAGGGAAGATGGCAGGATATCGTGTTTAGCATTCAGAACAGTGCGGTGGCTGGGGGCTAAACTATCTACCATGATGGTAGTTCAAGTTTTAGAAGAATGTTTGCTGTTGGCAAGTGAAATTTTCAGGCTTCACATTATGTTCAGTTTTGATAGTTTTGTCCCAAAAGAACAGACCCACAACCAGCTCTGGAAAGAAGCACACTGTTGTAGCCACGGTGGGGCTTCTGTGCCTGTCGCTACCGAGTGTCCCTTGTTCACTGTCATCAGGCATTTGTGTCCTCGCTAGCAACAAGGACTTAGATCGCCTGACGATTTCTACCTGTGAGGAAACCAGTGCTCCAGAGTCTCTGCTTAGTGGGTGTTTCTGTTGCTTAATAGAAAACTTAGCGCAGAATCCAGCCCATGATATGTCCCTGACTTCTCTTTCTTTTCTTTCTTTCTTTTTAAAGCTTTTTTGTTGTTTGTTTTGCTCTTTTTTTTTTTTCTTTTTTCTTTTCTTTTTTTTGGTGGAATCAGGGATTGAACTCAGGCCCTTGTGCTTGCCAGGGAAGCGCTTATTTCACCGAGCCACCTCCCCGGCTCGACCTCTCTTTCTAAAACAACACCCGGCTGGTCCCTAACGACAAAGCAGGGGTTACTGTGAGGTGTGCAGTTGACCCTCATTTTTACCTAATTAATTGGATGAATGTCCCTGCCCAAGGTGGACTGCTGAGCCGGCATCTTGCTGTTTACGGATCCACCAGAGGTCACTGAACAGGGACAATGACTGCAGTCCAGGTTCATTAGGGGCTTTTGAAGGCATAACAAGCTCCTAACAGTAGGAGTTCTTATTATAATAATGGGCGATGGTGTCAAAAGAAAGTTCATGTGTCTTTTTCACAAAGGAAGAAAAACAATGAAAATGCAGACAAAGTGTAGCTTTGTAGTGTAAGTTTCTCAGGGACAAAATCAACTGAAATGAAACCAACTTTTTAAAGTTGTGCATACTAAAGGTACATATATATAAACTCTCTAAAGTTACACATATATACAACATATAACATACACATACAATGTAGTACTTCATACCATGCGCTAGTATAATAAGTAGTTTTTAAACTTTTAAATAGTTGGCCAGATGTCGCTGGGAAAAAGTGGCCAGAATATTTCTGTTCTGATCTTTCCGTGTTTGGTGTCAGAAGAAAATCCACGCCAGCTGGCTGCAGCCTCTAACCTGGCTGCGGGAGCAAGAGCTGGAGGCGCTGCAGCTTGTTCCTGAGGTCATCTTACCTGTCGTTCTCTAAAATACTGTCCATTGGCTGCCGTTTCCCAATTGCACTTTCGGTATGGTTCATGTCCTTCCCATTAGAGTCCTAGTTCAGCACTTAGATCTTGCAGTTCTTTATTTTTCCTTATAATGTTGATTGTTCCATTCTTTAGAGTATTAGGAACAAGGACATCTTGATCACCTCCGCATGAAGGAGTCCTTTCCTTGTGACTTTCTGTTTTTCCTGGGGTCAGGTACACTGCGGGCAGAATGTGCTTGTTTACTGAGTTAACTTTTTGAATGAACAGAAAATCCTGCCAGGGTTTTTTTCAAAAAAGAAATAGTGTGTTTCCTAAAAATACTGTTTTAATCTTAAAGTTGTCATTAATACATAGGTGGTTTATGTATGAGGCCTCTGGGCAAACTGTACTCGCTGTACTTTTTGATCTGCAGTGGTCTGTTTTCTTTAGATATTTCATTGAATTCAGCGTTGATGCTGAGTAGTTTCCATCTATGGATATGTGTATAGTGGAGTAATGTCTGTTATAAATTTAATATTTCTGTTTTGTATTTATAAAATTTTCAAGTATTTCATATTGCATTGTCATATATCTTCTTCCCCTGGTACTTTTTGTTAGGTATTTGGTTGCCTTTCAAAATAGTATCTGGCAAGAGAAAAATCCCTCAAGTATAGAGGATAGGGGTGTTGCATTCATTAAGATGCTGCAGACTGCAGATGGAAGAATTGTAGGAGGTCAAATGCAATTCTTCAAAATTACATAAAATTGTTACTTAATTTGAGCTTCCAGAGTGTACATACTGAGTAGCATCAGTATTTGTTCTATTTATTTACATAATTTGATAGCATGTTTTTAAATGCTTTCGCGGCTCAGTAGAGAGAATATAATGATTATATCTTGTGTTAATAATGAAAATGACCGTATACCTAAAACTTAATCTTCTAAAAACATGCAGTTTGCCTGCTAGCCTAGTTCGCCAAAGCATAACATTTATCTAGTCTGTCTAAGGTATATTAATCCTTGAGAGATTACACCAGACTGAGACGTCAGGTTGGATGAAAGCTAGAAATGCTGCAGCGTATCCAGGTGAAGGAGCTGCAAAGTGCATTCTTTGTGGTTACACCAAGGAATGTTGAAAAGGGACTTTTGATCTGGGGGCATATGAGGGCCTGTAGAGACCGCACTGCTGTACGACCATGTCCTCAGTATCACCAGTGCTCCGTAATTCTCAGTGCATGTCGTAACTCCTTAGAGGTATGACATAGCAATACGTAGGTGTGACATAGCAGGTTGCTTAGATTATAAGTGCACTTTTTGTTGTTGTTTGTTCATTTGTTTTTTTGATACAGGATCTCTTTACGCAGCCCAGGCTGGTCTCCAGCTCAATGTTCAGCTTGGGGAGGAGGCTGGCCTTGCACTGGCGGAGATCCTCTTACCTCAGCCTGATCGCAGGCGTGAGCTGCCACACCCAGCTTCCTCCTGAGTTTTTCCCTTGATCGGGTTGAGTCTATTTACTGTAGGCAGATAGCCAACTTCCATTAAGTTTGTTAATTCACAGTAAAGGGAGGTGAGTTATGTGAACATTGATTCCAGCATAAAAGAAAAGAAATTCAGAGATAGTAAGACTAGAAACCTTGAGCTTCCTGTTGCCAGTAAAACAGAAATGAGGATGTACTGTGGTCAGTTAAAAGTTAGAATGCTTGAAACTTTTAACAGTATACATTAAGATTACGTGTTGATCAATGGCATTGATAACCATAAATTTTTGTCTTCAGAAAATGGCAAATATCATGCTTGTATTTTGAACATTATTTTTAGGGGGATTACTTGTTTATTTTTATTGTTATTAGTGCATGTTTACAAGACACAATAATTACATTCATGATGGGGAGGTGGTAAAATTACAAATACATCCTAATTCTTTTTATTTTTCTCCTTTCTCCCACCCTCTTCCTCATCTCCTGGTCTCCTCCCTTTTGTAAGAGAGCTAACTCCCTTGCGCATTATTATTATTATTATTATCATTATTTTCATTTATATATTTGGTACAGGGTCTCCCTACACAGATCAGACTTGCAGTGATCCCCCTGTTTTCAGTCTCCCCCCGCTCTGGGATTACAGGCATGTGCCACCATGCCCTGATTAATTCACCAGCTCAGCGTGCCCTGAGGACAAGGCCAGTGTGTGGGACTGTGGACCAAACCCTGGTCCCTGGGCTTGCCAAAGCAGGCACTTAGTCCACTGAGCTATCTTGCCAGCCTCTTGCACATTATTTTTGATCAGAGGAAGAGAAAGGATTGAGTTAACCGTTTTAACTGCTGTTTTATATTCACTGTATGTGAATGATGATTTTACTTCCAACTTTTTTCTTTTTTCTTTTTTGGTTCTTGTGAGACAAGGTTTCACTTGTGTGGTCCACTGGCCTTGACTTCACTGTGGAGCCTCGGTTGGCCTTAAACTCGCTGTGACCTCCTGCCTCGGCCTCCCAAGTGCTGGGACTGCAGGTGTGGGCCAACACGCCTGGCGCTCATTTCCAGCTCTTGAACTCTAGGCCTAGTTATCTCTCCTAACTAGCTTTGTAACTGTCAGCGAGGCAGGGTTTTGTTTGTTTTTGTCTTTTCCTCTCTTAGAATGATATAAGTGATTTCTTCTAGGTTTGGAATTCTGTCGTCTCAAGTCTAGAAAAGCTTATTTCTAAGCTTGAGAATGTGGATTCATTACAAGGACATTATTTTGAGTCCATAAACGTGTACCTGTAATAAAGGCGTATGTGAACCCCATAAACGCTGTTTATTTAGCTGATTGCTGATGGTCCAGGCGGGTCGCTGCTCATTGTTTCTTGCTGTTAAACAATGAGTAACTGCGACGATCATGTCAAAGATAATACATTTGAGATGTTGCTTGCTGTTGCCAAATACCTGTCCAGAAATACCTCACCCATTAATGCCTCTCTTCATGGTCTCTGGAAGTAGCCATATATATATATCTTCATAATTCCCAGCTATAGAAACCACCAGAATGTATGTCTAGCATGCTAGAGAAAAACTGCATCTTGTCATTTTAATTCTCATTTTTTTAGTTATAAGTGAAATTACCTCCACACACTATCAACTGTTTTCTTGATAATGAGCAATTCATATCTCTTTCCAGTCTTTTTCTGTTGATACACAATGTTTTAGTAAAGAAAGAAATGTTTTGTCACCTGTGTGGCAGAGGGGCCTCTTGGGTGTCATGTGGATCTTCCATCTTGCTTGTGGTCATTTTTGCTACTTTGAAGTGTTAAATTTTTATGTAGTCAAACTGATCGATTTTGTCTTTTTTGAGACAGGGTCTCACTGTATTTCAGGCTGGCCATGAGCTCACTTTGTAGCACAGGTTTGTGTCAAAATCACAGCGACCCTCCTGCCTCAGCCTCCCAAGTGCTGGGATCACATGTATGCACCCCACACCGGCTGATCAGTCTTATCCTTTATGACTGTTGAATTTGGTGGCTTGCTTAGATGTCGTCAGCTTTTGATCTTTGAATTCTTTTTTTTTTTTTTTTGGGGGGGGGAAGTGTAGGGTCTCACTATGCAGCTTGGACTCGTAGTAATCCTCCTGAGAGATTCATAGACTTTCATGAAAGAAACCTAACTGGCAAACTCATTGAAAAGTAAATTGTTAAAATAATTCTAGTGGGTCCTTTTACCTCAGAAGATACATACTGCTGCCTAGTGACGTGATGAAAGGACTGACTAGCTGTCTTCCCCAGTAAAGATGGCAACTTGTCTATGAGAGGCGGTTTCGTTATTTACAAGAATTCATTTATGAATGTATTTGGTGGAGGAATAGTTTATAAGTCAGGTGTTTCTAGTAAAATACTGAGTTTCTTTTTTTAACTTTTGTGCTTGAAAGGCCTCCCTCTGCCGTGTCTCCTCCCTTGCCATTCAGGCCCTCTTCCTCCCTCCCTGGATTTTAAAATAGCCCCAGCCTTGGTGCTGGCGCTAGGTGTTGATCGCATGAAGATGTCACCTCAGTTCCTGTACGCAAGGTGCTCATGACATTCAGAGCTAAGCACCGAGTACCTGTCGAACCGATGTCGGCCTAGAAACGCCTGTGGTGGGGCTTGTATTGACAGGTCGATTTTATGTGGAAGGTATTCGAACTTTTATCTCCTCCTGTAAGTGAAGTGCTTTCAGCAATTGAAATGATTTCTTGGATATCCAATTGCCTGTCTGCTGCGTTTGAGGAGAGTAAGAATGGCTGCCGTGGGTGGCGCTTGCTCTGGGGAGGTTTGTCACTGTTCCTGTCCTCCTGTTTGCCAGGTTCACTTCGATGGCTGGAGCAGTACGTATGACTACTGGATAGATGCTGATTCCCCTGATATCCACCCTGTGGGCTGGTGTTCCAAGACCGGACACCCTCTTCAGCCTCCTTTGAGTAAGAGTCATGAGGATAACTTGACAAATGCTCCATTTTATTGCTATCAGGAATTGAACTCAGGACCTTGCGCTTGTCAGACAGGCACTGTGCCACTGAGCTGTCTCCCAGGCCTCCATTCTCTAGTGTAGCATACTTAACATTCTTCACTGCCTTCTCTTCTCTCTCTCTCTCTCTCTTTTTTTTTTTTTTTTGTCTACTGCATAATTCTCAGTGTTACCCTTTTTAATATATTTAATGACCGTAGTCACAAAAGTAAGAAAATGTACTTCCTGAATAAGTAATATATAGACAGTCTCCTGCTTTTATTTAGAAGTAAATATTGCCTTTTAAAATTATCTCGGAATATTTAGAAAACAGTTTGTCAGACTATCAAAGTTGTATCAGTGCTGGCGTCCGAATAATAACTACACTATAGCTTTGCAGAGGTGTTACCAGTGGGAGACTTGGGGAGGGGGTCAAAGAAATCCTCCTCTGTTGCCCGACACCACATGTGAACTACAGTTATCTCAGTAAGTTTCACTTAATTCAGTTAAAAGATACACAGAGAGTCTAACATAGCATAATTTTAATTATAGAGAAAGATATTTATGTTGTAACATATGTAACATGAATATATCAGGGAAAATATATAATTAGGTTTTAAAAAAATTAAGTATCCTTCACTTCACTTCTGGGTACTGCATACAAACCACATCAGGGCACAGTAAATGTGCGTGATATTCATTCTAGCTTGTCTACAGTAGTGAAACCTGGACTGTCGATTAAATTGTGCATCGTATGAGAGAGATACTGTACACAAGTCCTAAAGAATATTAGTGTTGCCACTGGAAGATTTATCAGACACGTTTCCACTTAGTACACATCTGTGTTGTGCCTTTCACATGGCAAAGTAAAACCAAAGGTGGACCTGCATGTCTGTTCCAACCCAGGCCTGGGCCTGGTGCTCGGGGCCGCATGCAGGGCAGTCAGGGCAAAGGAGGATCTGAGTGTGGAAGAAAGGTCAGCAGGCTTTTCCCACTTGCAGAAGTGTCTCACTATTTCCTGTTTTCTGTTTGTGTTCATTCAAGAAATCGAATGCCTTCTTTTCTTTTTCGTAGGCTCTGTAGAGTTAATGGAAGCCTCTGACCAAGGCGGATGCCCAACGCTTGGCTGCAAGGGGCTTGGCCACTTTAAGCGCTCCAGGCACCTAGGCCCTCAGAGGTACGTAGGCATGGTGCTCCCTAACATGAGGGAGTCTGAAGATCATTAGAAGGTCCCTGTCTATAGATTACGAAGATGATTTTCTTCACTCTAGACAGATGTGAACTAATTTTAAGCCCAGATCTATAAGCAATGGGGTTGCCATGGTGACCATGAAACACTGAAGGACATCTCTAAAGTTAAATCTTTCTGGGAGCAAATACATTCACGATTTATAGAATAGACTTACATTGTTTAGTTAGTTGGCTTTTCCTGGCAACCTGAGTGGGGTTTTTTTGGTTTATTTATTTTTTTCTCTTAAGACAGGGTCTCACTAGTAGTTCAGGCTAGCTTTGATCTCTCTTTGTAGCTCCGACTGGCCTTAAACGACAGTGTTCCTCCTGCCTCAGCCTCCTTGTGCTGGGATTGCAGATGTGTGCTGCCTACCGTGCCTGTCGCAACCTAACCCATTTCACAAATACATGGCTTGAGAAGTAGTTGTGGGTTGACCATTCTGACATACTGAGAAGAGGGCTGGCTTTATTGAGATTATTTAGTAGAATACTGTGTGACTTGATAATTTGAGCGATAAAAAGCACTACTGTAGATCAGCAATGAGGATGACAGAAAACACAAACATAGTCAAACGTGAAAATGTGAGTGTCGGGAAACCATTTTTTCATATTTTTTCCCGTACTCCTGCTAGATAGATTCAAAAGGAAGCCAAATCCTTACATTTACATTTGATGTATTGTTCAAGTGGCTTGGGAATCTTTGTAGACATCTAAGAAATATTACTGAAATACCAGTAAATTCCTCTGATTTCTGAGACTGAAAAAGAACAGCATGTCCCGTGTGGGTGTGTACTAAGGTAACAATTTGTCTCTGTAAATGCTGTGAATGCACAGTAATTGGGTTACCCCGAAAGAAAAGTGGTTTTCACTTATCTAGTTTATGTAAGTCATAAATCTAGGAATGTAGGATTCTGAAATTGTGCTACCTAATCCTCAAAAGTTAGGAATTGTAAACCGTGTGCAATTAATTTCATCTGGCTATTATTTCCTTTTTCATCTTTTCAACCTCAAATCCTGCTTATCTTCCTTATGCAACTCTCCTCCCTAGGATTTTTTTTTTTTTTCATGAGGTTTGATATGTTCCAGAAGAAAAACAAAATCTGAGCATAGACAGGACGGTGATTCTGTTTGCAAACAGCTACTTAAAAGTCCTTTTCTTTGCTTGCACGGGCTGCAGACTCAGAGTTATGTGAGGAGAGTGCTGACTTAAAAACACATCTCAGAAGTTATTAAATATTACCTAGCCAGGGAAGCCAGATTATTTCTCAAAAGCTGTATAGCTCTACGTGTCAGAAGTAATTCAGGAGTGTGATAAATATCCATTGTGTTCTCAGAATCTTTTTCATCCTTTAATTTTGAATGCTGGTTTTTCAGTAAGTAGTAGTGTTTGAGCATTTTTTCCTGTGTGCCAGGAATTCCTGTAATTGCTTTATACATATTAGGTAGGTTTTTTTTTTTTTTTTAATGGTTTAGAAACAATTATTTTCCTACATATTTTGACTCTTCGAATGCCTTCAGGGCACTTTTGGCTGGCTGGAGGGTTGTGGGGATCGAACTACAACCACCTGAGGCTGACAGCTTTGTGGAAGCAGCCACTTAAAGAACTGAGCTAGGGCCAGGCCCCCTTCCTACATATTTTGAGAGAGATGATGACTTGCCTTCGTGAACGGCTGGTGAATGGGAGAGCAGTCCAACCACAAGGGCTGGTCTTTCTATTGATTTTCAGTACTTGACATTAACCCCAGGCCTTCACAGTGAGGGTCCTCTCAGACCCCGCCTTTATTGTGTTTTCTAAGACAGTCTCATTACATTGTCCAGGATGGGCCTGACCCTGTCATCCCCTGCCTCTGAGTGTGAGTGCTGGGAGGCTGGCCTTGGCTACCACCGGACTCCCTGCATACTGCCCCTCAGGGCACCGCCCCAGGAGCTTGTCACGGACATTATGCAGTAATGCAGCTATGGAAGCCATCCTGTCGTTACATCTGAAGACACAAAATACTAATGAGCATTGAAACTTTGGCACGTCTACCTTCCTACTACTACCCTGCAATCCCATGGCATTCACTGGACTAGGGTAGTTTTCTCAAATGGTGAAGAAAAAGAGTAAAGAAACAGAAAAATACATGAACACTGACGATATGTTGTTGGGATGCAATTAAATATTTAAAATTTCAATTTGGTCATCTGGAAGAAGCCAATCTACCTTCTGGCAGTTCTTTCGGAGTGCTTCAGGCTTGCATGGGGCAGTCTGCCTGCGATGGTCAGATCTCTGTGACTGTCCTGTCTGTGCTGAGGCCCCGCCGTGCATTGATCCACTGCAGCTTTTCATTGGGTGCAGGGGGACCTGGACATTCCCTTGCCCACCTGCCTCTGGTCACTAAATTTTATTATTTATCTGGGGGCCTTTTGTCATTGCTGCAGCGCTGTGCTGGTTAAGGGAGAAATTTTGAGAAGATTCGTGGAAGACCAGCGTCTCAGTTACTCTTCTCCTGTTGCTTGGACAAATACCTGACACGCCAAATGAAGGAAGGAAATGTTTATTTAGCTCACAGTTACTGGAGGTTGCAGTCCATACTTGGCTGGCTCCCAGGCAGAGCGGCACAGGGCAGGGGCAGCAGTTCATGGTGGCAGAAAAAAAGCAAAGCAGCAAGAGCAAATGGAAAGAGTAGCAGCAGCAACAGCAACAGAGCAAGAGTTGCATTTGTGCTATCTGCCCCAGCCTGGGTATAGCACTCATATCTATAATCCCAGCAGCACTCACACCCATAATCCCAGTGGATCATGAGTTAATCACGAACTCTAGAAGTCTGCCTCATGAGGCTTTGGGGGGATAGCCAGACACAAACCATAACCTTCTGCCCCTGGACCTCCAAAGATTCATGCACATTCCTTTGTGCAGCAGGCATTTAAGTCCATCTCTAAGAGTTGCCAAACTCCTAACAGTTTCAGCATTGCTGAAAAGTCCAAGTCCCAAGTCTCCACCAAGACCTAAGGCAAACTCTTAGCTGTGAGCCCCTGTACAAACAAAAAGGTGAAACACTTCCATCAGTGGCACAAGATAAACATCACCGTTTCAGAAGGTACAAACTACAGGGGAGTACAAAGCACTGGGACGAATACAAGTCCTAAATCCAGCAGGGCAAACATTAAATCCTACAGTTCCAAGTGGAACATCTGAAGCAATCTGTGGTGAGTTGTGAGCTCCAAAGGCCTTACATGGCTCCAGCCCTGTGGCACTTTTGGTGATAACTCCCATGGCTTCTCTCTTAGGCCTGCTTTGCCCCCTCGCAGATTCCCTTAGATGATCCATAATCCTGGCTTTTTTAAACTACTGGGATTTCCACTGAAAGCTTTGCGTACTACCCTCCAGGAGCACACTGTCTAGTCTTCCAGGTCTTCTGAAATCTAGGTGGAAGCCTTCTTAACCTCAGAACACTGTGTTCTGCATGCACCTAAAGCCAGTGCCATGTGGGTGATGCCAAGGTCTGCTGCCAGCTGGAGCAGTAGCCAGGCTTTCTTCTCTCTTGGCTGTAGGGGTCAAGAATCCGGGTCATTGAGCACTCTTACCCTGATTCCAAGGAGCAAATTCTCTGTGCAAGTGCCATTCTGGAAGCTGGTGTGGTTGCTGACTCCATTCTGGAATATGAGGCTCTGCAGCTTCCCCCCCCCCCCCCCCCAGTCAAAGTCCCTGACCTTTGCAATTCTGAGGCTGCAAAGGGTGGAGACCTGTGATATCCTCAGGCCATCCTTTCCATTCTCTTGTTCTTTCCCAGCAAGGGCGATCCTCAGCTTTGTCTCTGCATTCCACAGATTTCTTCCACAGCATTTTAAATCATCCAGCTGGGTTCTTTGCTCTTGATTCTCAACATAAGGCTGACTGAAAGCCCCCAACAATAGCCATGCCACTGCCTCAATATTCAGCTGCTTTGAGATTTCTCATTAATCAGTCTGCCATGTTTAATCTCAATCTCAGGCAAAATCTGTGGACATTAGCAAAATTCAAACAAATTGTTTGCCAAACCATGACACAAATGAACCAGTGTAGTCCTTCTTCCCAGCAGAAACCTCCCTGACCTGGTCTTTACAGGCAGGATTTCTGTCAGCCTTCTGATCTTCCCTTCATCAGCAGCATTTTCATCTGTAACAGGCACAGCCTGTTTTGTGTCCTATGAGTAGGCTCGTGGAAGAGCTTTCTCACCAGGGACGGTCTCCGGAAGGTTTGTTTCACTGGCATGGATTTGTATCCTTGCTAAGATATGCTGTGTTTAGGAAAACATAATGAGAAAAGTCTCTTTAGAGTAATTTCCTGAGAATCTACATAAATCACAACTTGAATTCTCTACTTGGATAAGGAAGTTGCTCCTTTAGCAAGAATAGTCAGTTTTATGAACACATAAGCAGAAGACTGTTTTGACTAGCATTATGTTATTACTGTCTCTAAAGATTACAGACTGGATTTGTTCTAGGAAACGTGAGCAGCAGAACTTGCATTTCAGGAATGAAGCCTGAGAATATGAAAACTTCCTCCCCCTTTTTTGATGTTCAAATAGCAGTGATCTGTGGAAGAGTTGGGCTGGGTGTGGGTGTGGGTGTGGCAGTTTCCTTGGTGGCCAGGGGCGTGCAGTAGTCTGGTTGCTAAGCTGTAGCTCTGTAGCAAGGGAGCTTCAATACAGGTTGTGTCCTATTTCCTTTGGTCAGTTCATTCCTTTGGATGACTGAGAAACAAAATACATGAAGGGCTTAAAGGGGAATTAGAGCTCAATAAAAGTAGATATTCTGCATGACTAGTACCTACAATATTTCTATGTAAAATTTGATCTTAGAGAAATAAAAAAATGTAACAAAACAGTATTTCCACTACCCCTAAAGTGTGTCTATAAAATCTATGGAATATTCGTTTTAAAAATGTGTGACTATGGACCTCATTAACTAAACATAGATCCATCTGTCCATGGAACACATGCCTTTGAGTGCCCGCTTAGTATCTCTGTACATTAGGCAGGCATAGATAGAGAGGGCAGGGCCCTGCTTATCGGGAGGGTAGAATGGACTCTCATGGGAGGTGTGAATGGTCCAGCGCTCTGCAAAGCAATACAGGTTGGGTGCAACTTCACATAGCTCTGTCTCTCTGTCTGTCTGTCTCTCTCTCTCTCCCTCTCCCTCCTTCTTATTCTCTCAGTCTCTCTTGTACTGTGAATGAAATCTAGGGCATTTGCACTGAGCACTCTCTTCTCTTCTCTTTTCTCTCTGAGACAGGGTCTTCCTAAGTCTCCAAGTTGTTCAGTCTAGCTTTGAACATAACAATCTTCTGCCTCAGCCTCCCAGCTGAGAAATGTGTTTGTTTTATTATTTTTGATTGAGAGTTTGCAGTTCTTCCCTTACTCAGGCAGTTTGTGTAAAAAAAAAGAAAAAGAAAAAGTGTGGAACTACTTAAAGAATAAGTCATTCTGGCCAGCAGTCTACCTTCCTCTAATCTCTCCAACTTGCCATGGGAAGATATAAATAGACATTTTGCCTTCATTTATTTGAGCAGAAAGATGAGGCTCTGCCCTCAGGGCTCAGAGTATAGGTGGTCTGCACTGCACCAGTGACTGTGGTATGGGGGCAGGGACATGTCCATCTGCAAATCCAGTGAATCTTTGCGGCGTCCAGTCACAGGGACCTTTCCTTACTCTCTCCTCACCCTCCCAGCCTCCTGGGGTTAATGTGGTCTCCAGTCCTTGCATGATCCATATCTGCTCCAGGAGACCAGGGCTCCTGCCTTCATTTTCCATTGTGTTTCCACTGCTTAGTAAGTCATGTAGCCCACAACAAACACTCAGTAAATACTTGCTGAACCAGTGAATGAAGTAAAGACTGAAATCACTTCATCATTTCAAACACCACTTTGTGGTTTGAGATGCCTTCCTCAGAAGGTCTTAAAAAGATTAAAGTGTTGCACATGGAGCACTTAGCCCAATACTTAATACAAAGTAAGTGGTCCATAGTATTAGTGGGATTTGTTGGGTTAATGCTGTAAATTTATGTCAGCACATGACGCAATGTGACTTACTTTTCTTACTCAAGATACCAGGGCAGCATAGCATCTAGTTAAATCAAGCTTGCATTTTTTTCCTTTTATCTAGTGAATGTTACAGGCTAGTGTTGCCTGAGTGCATTCTCAAGTTCTTCCCTCTTTTTCCCAGGACCGAGTTATCATTCACTTGGTGGATGATAGATAGGCAAGGCTTAAAACCATTTCCTGCATGATAGTCAACATTCTCACAACATTCATCACCTAGCCTAAAGAACAAGTAAGATGTAAATGCACTCACCTAAGGTCCAACCCATTTTCAGCTTTAGAAAGATGTCATAAAAACAGAGGGGCAGAATTCGCAGTTAGTTGGAGATCATCATGCGCATTGCAGGCCTGAAGCATGGGCTGAGGCCATTGTTCTGGAGCCTGGAATGTGGAGAGGAGGCCCAGGCATCCACTGACAGATCCTTAATTCACATCCAGAGACTTTGATCTCCTCTGCTTACATAATGGGAGTGGTTTCCCCAGTAGACCTTAAGAGACCGGTGTGTAGACCCAGCTGGAAGGGAAACGAGACATCGGGTCGGAGTCATCCCAGTTCCGCCATTGCTGCTCAGGGTAGACCACACAGGTATTCTGTGGGACACCAGGTGCGGATGTGGAGACGGAACACTCCCTGCCTGCCTTGCTTCTGAGAGCGCAGTGACTGTGCCAGAGGAAACTGAATCGCTGGTGACTGCCTGGGCCGGGAATCCCTTGGGAAGCAGACCTGCTCGATTGAGTCCTAATTGCTCTCCCACCTGTAGCCCCAGCCCTACAACAGGGCCTAAGCATTTTGTTCTGGAGGCCACTGGTTGCCAGATGTGAGGCCGGGTCCTGCCCTTGTACATACCTGTGGGAGTTCTTCCATAACCATTGCTCAGTTCCCAGTGTGGGCTCAGCTTGCTTCTTCAAATCTAGTGTGAAGATGTTTTCAGTCTGAATATATTTCATGTATTTTGTAGACAGAATGTTTCTGTATGTGTGTATGAATATTTAATCACACGTATACACATGTGGAAATACATATACAAGTATAGTACATGTGAATTTTGTATTCTGTAGCCTGTCATTTTCTTTGAAGCGTAGTAGGTATGTTCTAACAGAAGTGTCCTTTTCTTTCTCTTTTGTCAGTGCTGCCAGCTGTCCCTACTCAGATATCAATTTGAATAAAGAACGCATTTTCCCAGACCGCTTAAGTGGTGAGATGCATGTACCCAGCCTCGCATTTCCAAGAGCGAAGAAGACAGACACAAATGAAAGCCCCTCGCCTCCTGAAGTCAGGTAACAGAAGTGGTGCTGTTCCCGGCGTTCAGAAGCACAGTGACTGAGGAGGTCATCCGCCTCCTCTCTGTTGTGTTCTGTGGCCATGTTTATATGTGCATTGTGGAAAGTGCGTTTGACTCCATGTGAAATGATGTTGGAGCTCAGTACTCGAAAACCTCCTCGTCTGTCCTCACTCGCATTTTCCCTGGAAATCAAAAAACCTTTCTCCTTTCTTGCTGGTCTCTTAATTTGTAGTCCTAGCTACTCAGGAGGCTGAGGCCAGAGCATCGGATCGCTTGAGCCCAAGAGTTCAAGGCCAGCCTGGGCAACATAGTGGAAGCATGTCTCACCAAAAATAAGAGTGGAACCTTACCTGAAATGTATTTCAGGGTCAAAAATGATGTCTTGAGGAAGTTAAAGAAAGAGGTCCTTGGGGCTGGGGAGATGACTCAGTAGAATAAGTGCTTCCCTGGCAAGCGCAAGGGCCTGAGTTGCATCCCTGGTTCTGCAAAAAAAAAAAAAAAGGTCCTCTATTTGTCTCTCAGTACTGTGCATTGCTTTCTTCTCAGGAAAATCCTGAGCGTGTGACATAGCTAGCCTTGTAGTTGTGCATGTGTTTATGTGTGAGAATTTCAGAGTTCTCACAGTGATTCCCAGGGGTGAAACAGTGTAGGGTTAAACTTGTCCCCGGGGAGAGGAGACTTGATCCCTGTCCGTGGAAGCTGGACCTTGCTCTGTGATGTTCAGAATTAAACTCTGCGGGCTCATTGAGGCTTGCGGTGCATCGCACTCACTCTCTGCATCAAAGCTGAGGGGTGGGCACGTCGCAGTTGTGATAGTGCCGCCAGGCGGACTCCGCGGCCGGGTCTGCTCTCCTCCTGTCTCTCCACAGAACCAAGCAGCAGTGAGTCGGTTCCACCCGGGGAATTGCAGGTATACCACGAGGTCCGAAGAACAGAGATTGTGAGACATAGGAGCGTTCTGTTTCATTAAGAAACCAGTCCCTCAGACCTAGGGGTGCTAAGTAATTTCAAGTTTATTAAATGCGTCTGTAATTCCTGGTGGAAAAGTGAAAGCTCTCTAAAAATAACTCCTGGCATTTTAAAAATATATTAAGCATTTTTGGTGCTCGTCAAGGGTAGGGTGATTTTTGGTTTTTGTGGAAACTTTCCTTACGTGCCACTTTCCTCAATAAAGGCTGTCAGTGATGAGGCCTCTTCCGCTTAGTACTTCCCTGTGGTTTAAGGTTTGCAGCTGGTGAGAGACTTTCAGCAGACATAAAAAAATGATGCCCCCAGCTTCCTTTTCCAGCCCGCTTGAGCACTTTGCTCTGCGCCTATTGTTAAGCGTGGCCATCTGGGCTCTGGACGCAGGGCTTGAGAGCACGTGTTTCTCACCTGCGGGCCCTGCAGACTCAGGGAGTTAGTCACTGAGGCACAGCCCACAAGAGCGGCACAGGGCTTTCTTCTCCACAGAGGAGCAGATCAGCAGCGCGGCCTCACATCTGGGCTCTCCCACCCGCCGGGTGTGTGAGCTGTGATGCCGCAGAAGCGCTCCGCTTTGCCCCTCAGTTTATCAGGATTATATGCAATGAAAGTCTTAGTGTCAAGCTCTTCGGGTAGTGTCTGCTAAGCAGTAATAATCCCATAAGCCCTGCTACTTTTTATTAGTGTTGTTAAAAGAGGCTTGGGTTACTTGGTTTTTCATAGCACAGACTGCATATCCCTTGTTCGCAGTGCCTGGCACCAGAAGTGTTTCAGGTTAGGGATTATTGGATTTAGACGTTAACCGTTGGTATAGATTTTGGCCATTGAACATGCTGAATCTGAAGTGGTCCAAAATCCTTCAAAGAGTTTTCAGTTTTGCAACATTTTGAATTCTGGGTTTTTGGATGAGGGACGCTCAGCCTGTATTCATTCTTTTTGTCTTTAGGAGGAAAACAAAGGATGCCGGTGCCTTTCCTATTCCTAGGTTCAATTCAGTGGATTGCTGAAGATGATGCTGGCAAAAGCAAATTACGGCCCTCCTTTACTCACTCCTTGCTCACCTGAATGTAGTTTCCCACTGGGTTGTACTGTGCTTTCTTTGCACCGTTTTCAATTTGCTAAATTCGGTTGCCAGTCTCTCTCTCTTTTTCTAATGCATGTGGGAACAGCAAGAGACAGTCTGTGTGCCCAGAAGCAAAGCCCAAGGAAAGGTGTTGGTGCTCCAGCTCCCGTGGCCATGCCAAGCCGTCAGGAGGGGAGCTCAGTGGCGAGGCAGGCCGGGAAGGCGCCAGGAGCCCCTGGGTGCCAGTGGAAGCACCGCTTGGGGCAGGGTGCAGACTGGACAGCTGTGGGGCCGTGTGACACATGCAGTCTGGTGTGGCCCAACAAGGCGGAGGGAGCTGAGCTGTGTCCCCTCCGTGATAGAGGAAGGCTGTGCACACCCACTGATGCCCCAGCAGGTCCACCGTTCTGCGTGGAGCCTGGAGGCGGATGGGGAGAGCCGCGCAGGTGCGGCAGGCGGCGTCGGGCCTGGGGCGTGTGTGGGAGCCAGGGATGCAGGCAGGCTCAGGCAGTGGCTCTGCACCATCTCAGGCCTCCTGTGTCAAGGCCTCTCCCCATGCCAGGCCATCCCAGGGTGAGGAAGGTGCTGGCATTGCCCTTGGTGCAGGACCACATGAGGAGCATGCATAGCCTTCTTAGGCCACGGCAGTATTTTAAGGGCCACCTCCTCGAGAAGGTCCCAGGGCACCTGATTTTCAGGTCCTTCCCTAACACAACTTCCCCTCCACTCTCCTGCAACCTTCTTATAATTCACATTTGGAGCCATTCCCCACCTCGCGGATCATCCAGGCTAGAGCTGTGCAGGCTGCTCAGGGCCCTCTGGGTACTTAGAATAAGCACCTTGATTCTTCTGTGTTATTGGTACATTTTACATACACATGATCACATTCACCGTAGGGAAGCTGTCCCTGTCTGACCAGTCTTGCTGCTTTTTCCCCAGTGCCCTCCTCTTCCTTCAACCACTCTTCCCTGTTTATTTATAGAAGCTTTGTGTGCATCACTTTCCTTTTATGCTCCCCTTATTTTCTGGTCCCTTTTCTGTTCCCACTTGCCCCTCCCTTGCTCCCCCTTTCATGTGAGCAGTGTCTTCCCATTGCCCTATACCCTTTCTGTGTTCATTTTGGCCCTCGTACACTTTCGGTTCTCACACCAGAGAGACAGCGCAGGTTACATTTATTTCACTTAAAGAACATGGTCTTGAGGTGCACCCATCTACCTACAAGTGTCTCAAGCCTATCCTTTATGGATGAGTAGCACTCCACTGTATTGAAAAACCCCACCTTCTTTATCCATTCACCAGGTGACAGGCATTTGGGCTGGTTCCAAGATTTAGCTATTACAGTCTGTGCCACCATAGGCGTGGCTGTGCACCTATTGCCGCGCTGTATGCTTTGAATTCTTTTGGGTACATACCGCAGTGGGGAATAGCTAGGTCAAATGGAACCTCTAGTTTTAGTATTTTCAGGACTCTCCTCGATCACCACAGTACTTGTACCAGTCTACACTCCCACCAACAATGGAGAAGGGCTCCTTTTTCCCGGAACCGCACCGCTCTTGGCATTGGTTCTTGGTTGATTTCTTGATGATAGCCCTTCTTTCTGGAGTGAGGTGGAATCTCAGCGTTGTTTCAGTTTGCATCTCTTAAATGACTGTGATGTTGAACATTTTTCATGTATATTTATTTGCTATTTGTACTTTATCTAAGATGTATATAATTATTTCACATGGGCATTTTGGACTGAGTCTTTAAATTTGGGGGCTCTGATTTTTTAGAGTTCTTTATGTATGCTAGATGTTAGTTCCTTGGAACCTTGTTATGGTTTCTGTATAGTTGTCCCTCCAAAGCCTCATGCAGTCTTGGGGCAGCTTCTGCAGTTTGTGTTTGATTACTGCGGTGTGGATGCTGCCCCTGCGCTGGGGCAGGTAGTTTGCATTACAGTGTAAAGTGGGAAGAGAAGCCAGCTGCTTGAACTCTGCTCCTTCTCCCTTGTGCTCTTGCTCTTTGCTGCCACCATGAAAGGTGGCTTTCTGCTATGTGCTGCTCTGCGTTGGACCCAGAAGAATATGGACAGAAACCTCCAGTAACTGTGAGCTAAATAAACCTTTCCTTCCTTCATTTTGAGTGTCAGGTGTTTGTCCGAGCAACGAGAGAAGAGTAACTAAGACAGTCCTTGATTCTTCACATGGCCTGCAGACACCTGTGTTACCTGGCCCATCTCAGCCTCCAGCATCTTCTCTACCAGTCTCTTCTCAGCCAAGTGCGTCAGCCTGCCTGTCCTCGGGCACGCTCTTCCCTCCACCTAGAACTTTCATCTGTCCTCTTACCACCCCTCATCTTTCCAGGCTGGGGCTCCCTGTCTTTGCTCAAGGCAGCTTTGGTTTCTCCTGGGTATTCATCTAGCATTTCTGTAAGTTACACTTCGGGTGCTGTTGAGTTTATTTCCCGAGCACCTCCTCAGGGTGTGCACCTTGCTCACGTGTAAGTAAGCTCTGCAAGGCAGTGGCAGCTGTCCTGCTCCCCACCGGGCCTGCTGAGCAGCTAGCACCCTCCCATGCAGCTAAGCGCATTGGTGGTGACTGTCAGTCACCACCCACCATCACAGTTTTATAGCCTCAGAGACAGTGGCTGTGGGTCCTTTTTGTTCACTGAAAACTCCTTTATTCTTAGGGCTGTAGTAGCAAAGTCATAGGACTCTGGCTTGGTATGTGCAAGGCCATGGGTTTAACTCCCGGTACCTAAAACCTCCTCCAGAGGGCCCCAGCAGCAAGGTGGCAGCTTTTCCTGTGATGCGTCTCCTCAGCTGAGTAAAAAGATGTGTTTTCCTGCAGATCTTAATAAAACCACAGGTCTTGGGTCTCTAACTTCAGTTTGCCCCAGGTGGCTTTTAAGGCACTGCCACCAGAGGGCATGAGTCAGGAAGTGCAGGTGCATCGCTGGAGTCCTCATATCCAGCAAGCACCAGGTGACAG